GACATTTAAGGGAAACGGTGCAGTCAAACCACTTATTACACAACATTTCACCACAAAAATAATTAAGGCAATAAAAGAATTAAGACAAAAATGTTTTAAAACCTAACCAGTTTGTTAGTTCTCTTATAATCCATTACAGAGTACAAAATAATCGTAGCAAAATGGCAGCAGCTGCGTTTGTATATAACGAGAGCGAGTCTGCGATACCAGGACGACATAATTAAATTGTACACCATTTTGAATCGAGTTTTAATATTTTATTAGCTAAACAAACGCAAAGCTTCCACCAAGAAAAATCAGTTCAAGCAAGAGTGCAGCGCCGACTGCTGTTACCCGGATGAGCCTGTGTTATTAGCTTTTACCGGTTGTTATCGAGGGATAACATACCTCGGAATGTCGCGACTGACCAATCAGAATCAAGTATTCCACAGAGCCGTGTAATACATTTAGTTAACGAATTTTGGAAACAAATTAGTACTGCAATATCTTTTTTCCCACATGTCATGTGTAACTCTGTAACACTGATCTGACATCCACATTTTTCTGGTGTTTGCCTTTTGTAGTTGTTTGTATGTATTTTGTTACATTAAATCATGTCTTAGCTGAAGAACGTCTGAAACACCTGGCTTAAAAAGCAGCTGTTACAGAAGTTGATACTCATGTCAGTGGGTTATAATGGCTGCAAAAAGGCACATTAAATGGGCGTTATTTTATGTACAAAGAAGCATGGTTACATTATCACATGAATACCAAGCTGACTTCATTGTTACCTGATTGAGTTCTCTATACAGAGGGGATGGAAACAATTGGGAAAAGGGGTGGAAAAACACAAGGACAAAATTTTTAATGACAATTTGATTTGTAGAGCTGGAAGAAATCGGCCCCAGTTCGAGGCTGTAATGGAATCTTTTTTAGGACAAGCGGCAGCACATTTTGGGACCCTCCGGTAAACATTTCCTTTCAGTTCTGACCCACTGTGAAGCACAATTTAACTTTGGCTACAAGGAAGACATGGACACACAAAGGACTGCCGATGTTCTCCAAGGAATACTGATGATGCTGATGGAAGACAAGGAGTCAGAGTATTTTAGCAAGGATCATGTCAAAAATGATTTCCAGTTTCCTGATGTGATTTAAATGTGTATTAACCACTGGCCCTGTGATAGTCATTGTAACCATAAATCAAACTTAGCAACTTTAAAAAAAAAAATCATACAGAGAATTAATTTTTAATGATACATTTAAGTAATCATACTTTAAGGATTTCTCACATATGGTAAGTTTGAGTAATTCCTACTCAATTATCCTACTCATGGCTGATGTAAGCAGAATAACAATTGATCATTTGGCCATCAAAAGTGGCTCAAAAGACAGAAAAGACATACTGAAAAATAAGCTCAAATATGAAAGAAAACCTACATGATAAAACGGCTCCCCGAAAGCTCTTTGATGGCCTGTGCTGTTTACTGTGGTGACCAGTGTTTGTTGGTTTCTTCTCAGGGAGATAGAGAACAGGATTGAAGCTGATCATCCAGTGGTAAGTACTTGATCATCTAAAAGCATTTGAAATTTGAGTTCAACTAAGACATGCCTTTATTACGATTAGTACCAAACTACTAACCCTACGTTGGACGGATTCACGAAACATTCTTAACCTCCAACATGTCTTAAATCCCCAGAAGTAAGATGCTTAATGAATTTATTGGGTTGTTTCAAATATTAAGCATTAGAACTTAAAACTAGCTACAAATAATACACATTATTTTTACTAGAGATGTGCATGAATACTTCAAGTGATACCATTGATTGATAATGTAAACAGTGATCGGTCATGATTATTCATGAACTATATATAAATACAACCCAGCACTGGGTTAAAAAGGGACAAACCCAGCTATTGGGTTGTTTTAACCCAGCTATTGTGTTGTTTTGACACAAAACAACCCAATAGCTGGGTCAAAACATCCCAACCGCTGGGTCAAAACAACCCAATAGCTGGGTCAAAACATCCCAACCGCTGGGTCAAAACATCCCAATAGCTGGGTTAAAACCTCCCAAAATCTTTTTAGAGTGTAAACTCAGTAGAAACTGTACAAAAATTAGTCAAATAGGGACCCCATTTTTATTGTTATAATTATGAAAATCTTCTTTCGAGCAGCCATACATAGGATGCATTCACTTTAGAGAGATAACGCAAGAAAAATGCAGCGCAAGTGAATGCAACAGACAGGCTCTTTAAACATAACTATTTAAAATACACGGAGCATTAAAGGGATAGTTCACCCAAAAATGAAAATTATTTACTCATCCTCAAGCCATCCTAGGTGTATATGACTTTCTTCATTCAGTCAAATACAATAAGAGTTATATTAATAAATGTCCAAGCTTTATAACGGCAGTGAATGGTGGTCGAGATTTTGAAGCAAAATAAAGTGCATCCATCCATCATAAAAGTAGTCCACTTGGCTCCAGGGGGTTAATAAAGGCCTTCTGAAGTGTAGCTGGCTCTTCCAAGCTTTAAAGTGCATCCATCCATCATAAAAGTAGTCCACTTGGCTCCAGGGGGTTAATAAAGGCCTTCTGAAGTGTAGCGATGCGTTTGTGTAAAAAATATCCATATTTATAATTTTATAAACCATGATCTTTATTGTTTCCACTAACTGTCATACGCGCGTTCACGAGAGCGTGGTCATGTGCAGCACTTTTTATGATGGATCTATGCACTTTATTTTGTTTCAAAATCTCAACCTCCATTCACTGCCATTATAAGACTTGGAAGAGCCAGGACATGTCTTAATATAACTCCAATTATATCCCAGATAGCACAGGTACGTCTGCAAGCTGTCTGCTAAAGATCGCTTCATCTGGAAAGCATCTGTTGTGTACAAACATCTGATAGATATCTTTTCAGTTTTACAAACATTCTAAATCATAAACATCTTAAAGACACCTTGTAAACATCTATTTGACATCTGATAGAAAACGTCCTATAGACGTATTGCAGATGAGCAACCACTCAAAAAAATGTGTGCTATCAGGGATTCGTCTGAAAGAAGAAAGTCATATACACCTTAGCATGGCTCGAGGGTGAGTAAATCATGGGGTAATTTTCATTTTTGGGTGAACTATCCCTTCAAAAATGTGACGCCAAGTGCTGAACTCTTGTCAAGTCAATCGCAACGAATGATTATTGTGGCAATATGCAGGCAAAAATCGGTTTTAACTTCTCAATAACTGCACTAAAAAACTTTTTACAATTTATCTTAAGAAATGCATCACTTTTAAGAAGATTTTAATAAATCCAGCCCCCAGAATATCATGGAGATTTGGAGTGGACTTAGGGTGAACTCTTTTGACTTGAAACCGCCTAACAATGCTCTAACAACAAGCCAGAACACTTCAGAAACACACCAAAAACTACATTTTAGCAACCACATTGCAATCTCTTGGCAAGGGGATTTTGCAGAGGCAAGCAATTTTCTTCAGAAAATGTAGTTTATAATAAATCTTTCAAAGGTTTAATTCATTCTGTTGTTTCTTAGTACTTTATTTGAATCTTTTTTCAAAGGGCAGTGCTGTCCAAGTAAAAACTGCATTAATTATTGAGAAAAAGGAGCATATAATACACCCCCCCCCCCCCCCCTTTTTTTTTTTTTTTTTTTAAGATTTTAATAAATCCAGCCCCCAGAATATCATGGAGATTTGGAGTGGACTTAGGGTGAACTCTTTTGACTTGAAACCGCCTAACAATGCTCTAACAACAAGCCAGAACACTTCAGAAACACACCAAAAACTACATTTTAGCAACCACATTGCAATCTCTTGGCAAGGGGATTTTGCAGAGGCAAGCAATTTTCTTCAGAAAATGTAGTTTATAATAAATCTTTCAAAGGTTTAATTCATTCTGTTGTTTCTTAGTACTTTATTTGAATCTTTTTTCAAAGGGGAGGGCTGTCCAAGTAAAAACTGCATTAATTATTGAGAAAAAGGAGCATATAATACCCCCCCCCCCCCCTCTTTTTTGATCTAGTAGTGATCAGATTCTTTGGCTTCTCGCATGAAAATGAGAGAATAAATTCAGTTCTCACGTATGTATTTTTCAAATCCCATGTCTGATCAGCCGGCTCCGGCTTCGACTGGGGAAGAGAGCGAGGAGGACCAGCAGTTCCTGTCCATTTTCCAGCATATCGCGGGGGACGTGAGTACTGGGGAGCCACTGAGCGCTGGGGGGAGTGTGAGTATGGTGGTGGGGTGGGACCGGTAATTGGCCATGCCAGTGGTAACAGTGGTAACAGCCATATCATGACAGTTTTCTGTTGGCGTAATAAACACCACATCTGACTTTCTGTTTATTCTTGTGTCTTACAGCAAATGGAGATCTCAGCCAATGACCTCAAAGATGTCTTGAACAAGGTGGTGTCTAAATGTACGTATCTTTGTAGATTATTATATTGTATGATTGTGGTTTTTCTATATAATGTCTTCAAGAAATGATCGGCTGTTTACAGACAAGGACATACACACTGATGGCTTCAGTCGAGAGAGCTGCAGAAGCATGATTGCCCTCATGGACGTATCCTTTGTATCAAGATTACAACATTTCTGTAAAGCCCATTTAAGGCATTGTCAAAAACATTTGGGTCATTCTCAGGAAAAGGTACCATTTGTGGCTTTATTGTTTCCACCAGCCAATATGTCAATACAGTTTTACAATGTTCCAATAGTTATTTATCATTATTAGCAATAAGCCTTAGTTTTAGTTTTGCCAAACACACTGACACACTCAACTCTGTTACATAACATTCAGAGTTGAATATTACAAAAGGTCAGTGTAAAAGCAACCAATCAAATAATATTTCACCACACCATATTAATTACAGTTAATATTATTTTGTGTTCTTTTGTGAATGATTTCTGAAGGATCATGAAGACTGGAGTAATGATGCTGAAAATTCAGCTTTGCATCACAGGAATAAATAACATTTTAATTATTATTTTAAGTTGTAATAATAATTCCGAATATGAATGATTTTACTGATCGAATAAATGCAGCCTTGATTGAGCAAAAAAAGACTTATTTCAAAAACATACCGACCCCAAACTTATTTTAAAAAAGAGGGAAATTTCACAGCATAACAGGGTTGAAAAGAAAGTTTTATGATTCTGACTGTTTTGAAATAATAAATGTTACTTCTCCACCATTTCATAGTAGATTTAATTTCGTAGCAGATGCATTTCAAATCTGCATGCAAATCTTTCTTAATCCTAATCTCACAGATGGACGGAAAAGGAAGACTTAACCTACAAGAGTTTAGACACTTGTGGAACAAAGTCAAACAGTGGCAGGTTTGAAATCTCCTCATTCTTTCCTATATTAAATCAAAAACAAGACTGTTAGACACATGGACTTAAATTTTCTCCACAGGGAATCTTTAAGTGCTATGACTTTGATCATACTGGCACTATCAGCAGCTATGAGATGAGAAACGCCATCAATGATGCAGGTTAGAAGGTTTTTCATGTATTTCTACTGTTCATCCGTTCTCATGTTGAAGAACATCTGTCTGTCTCTAATGGTCTTGTCACTGTTCAGTCACGTGTTTTGTGTGCCACTCAGGGTTCCGTCTGAATAACCAGCTCTATGATATCATCACCATGCGCTATGCCAATGAAAACATGCACATCGACTTTGACAGTTTCGTCAGCTGTCTTGTGCGACTGGAGGGGATGTTCAGTAAGTTGTAATCTTTTTCACTAGCAAATAGTCAAACAAATAGTGTTTAGTAAATAGTACACACACAGTGTCATTCTCAGGAAGTGTTGCCATTTAAGCTAGAATTTTTTTTTATCAATATTTGACATTATTAACTCTGTCATAGTAAGTTTGGAATTATAGACTTTTTTTTTTTTACAAGGCACAGTTTCATTGTACCTTGTAATAAATCATGCATTAAAAAAACTTCAAAACTTTGTCTTTGGAAAAAAATGTTTTTTTTTGTCAACCCTGTTACATTCATAATGTCTTTGGATCGAAAGACAGGACAAAAAGGACAAATAACAGTATTAGCAAGCAAATATCAATGTACCATTGTATTTCTTTTAAAGATTGTTCCATGAACAGTATTTTTTTTTCTGGAAAGAATTGCTGACTGACATTTTCTCATAACAGAGTTGAACTGTTGAGCTTGATAAGGTAAACAATAAAATACTAATAAATGACTTTATAAAATATGATGTCAGAAATAAAAAAATAATGATACGGAGCCCTGCACGTGACAGAAAAATTTGTGGCCACGTTTTATAAATCAAATTATTAATTAAAGTATTAATTAAATACAATTTTTAATAACTTATGGCTATATTGTACTAATTTATTCCTATGTTTTGGCTACAGATGGAATTAATTAGTACAATGCTGCCACAATCTCAGCATAACAGGGTTGAAACAGAATGTGTAGGGATAAAGAAAATTTCCACATTTGTTCGGAAAATGTTTCAAATGAAACGTCTTTAAACACCAAAAGTTGTGGGGAATTCATACAGAACCGCTTTCTAAACAACTAAAGATTTTACTGGGTTCTACTTGAAATATTTCATGTGTCAATTTTTTACCAACAATTGATTTGGGGCTTGTGTATGCTAAAAATCATGCATGAATACTGTCTGAAGTGAACCTGTTCTCTTTGTAGGAGCATTCCAGGCCTTTGATCAAGGTGGAGATGGCACCATCAGACTTAATGTACTGGAGGTGAGTTAGTAAATAGTACACACACAGTGTCATTCTCAGGAAGTGTTGCCATTTAAGCTAGAATTTTTTTTTATCAATATTTGACATTATTAACTCTGTCATAGTAAGTTTGGAATTATAGACTTTTTTTTTTTACAAGGCACAGTTTCATTGTATCATGTAATAAATCATGCATTAAAAAAAACTTCAAAACTTTGTCTTTGGAAAAAAAAAATGTCGAAAGACAGGACAAAAGGACAAATAACAGTATTAGCAAGCAAATATCAATGTACCATTGTATTTCTTTTAAAGATTGTTCCATGAACAGTATTTTTTTTTTCTGAAAAGAATTGCTGACTGACATTTTCTCATAACAGAGTTGAACTGTTGAGCTTTATAAGGTAAACAATAAAATACTAATAAATGACTTTATAAAATATGATGTCAGAAATAAAAAAATAATGATACGGAGCCCTGCACGTGACAGAAAAATTTGTGGCCACGTTTTATAAATCAAATTATTAATTAAAGTATTAATTAAATACAATTTTTAATAACTTGTGGCTATATTGTACTAATTTATTCCTATGTTTTGGCTACAGATGGAATTAATTAGTACAATGCTGCCACAATCTCAGCATAACAGGGTTGAAACAGAATGTGTAGGGATAAAGAAAATTTCCACATTTGTTCGGAAAATGTTTCAAATGAAACTTCTTTAAACACCAAAAGTTGTGGGGAATTCATACAGAACCGCTTTCTAAACAACTAAAGATTTTACTGGGTTCTACTTGAAATATTTCATGTGTCAATTTTTTACCAACAATTGATTTGGGGCTTGTGTATGCTAAAAATCATGCATGCATACTGTCTGAAGTGAACCTGTTCTCTTTGTAGGAGCATTCCAGGCCTTTGATCAAGGTGGAGATGGCACCATCAGACTTAATGTACTGGAGGTGAGTGGGCACCAATCCATCATCTTAAGACTATGTAATGTTTAGCATCAGGTCCACGTCATTAGTTTCAAACATCAAAAGCCTTCCATTTAAATCATTAGGAACCATCTCAGATGTCATGACAGATGCCAACATTCAGGGTCTTTATTGAATGGTGTATAGTCATGGGTCGATGCTAGGCTTTTTTTTTTTTGCTTGACCCGCATTTAACCTTTTGTTTAAACGAGTGTACTGACTTCAGCCGTTTAATAAATAATTGTGTAGTTCTTGGTTGAGGTGCTTTCCCAGGAAAAATAAATAATTTTTTAAGCCTAATTATTTACACAAAAGCATAAGTACCAATTACAAGAAAAATAAATAGATGCATGTTGATTTTTTAAATTATTTTTCAACAAAGGGGCTGTAAAAGTGTGTATTTCACCAATTGTTTTATATCTGATTTGTTTTTTTCAGCCCTGTTACAAAATTTGGGTCTCAGTATTTAATACCCTGTTAGGTGATTTTATATTCTAGAAATAAACATTAAATATATATTCAAGTATCATTTTTCAATAACACGAGTAACGGTTGCACGCCGGCAAATTAAGTCAACAGTAAAATATGTAAAATATGTTTTGTACTATTGTAATAAGATAACACTTTAATTGTTTTCTAAGAAGCCGTCTTTATTGCTTTAAAAAGTAATGGGACACTATTTGTAGCCTTTTCATGAAAAGTCTCAAGTGAAGTACTACACTGGAACATAACCTCCATGAAACCAAATTTCCCCTTAGGATAAAAGAAATGCACACAGTAAATCTTTTTTATTCCATTTGTTTCAATGGCATTTGTGTACAAAATGTCTCTAAAGATTTTAACAGTATTTGAAATGAACACGTGTGAGAAACTTGGGAATACCAGTTTAGAGGTTGGCTGCAAATCTCTCCTCAGCAACACACAACTACAGCAAAAGAGCTGAGACACATTTCAAAGGTTATGACTGGGGGGAAAAACAAGCTGTATCTTTATCCATTATGATATAATATAATGGAAAAAAAATTCAGTGCCCATATATAGTTAAAAAATACAACACTTCAGGGGTAGTAAAATGTTCTATTTCAACAGACATAGGATAGTGCTATTACTCTTGGTAACTGCACAAACACACCTCCCCTGCTTATCACCCCTCAACTTTCATTCTTACACTGCAAAATATAGGTACTTTCCTGTGCGAGGAACCTCCTAGACTTGCAGAAAACTACAAATCTCATCGGCACGAACGCCACAAAATGCTGTGAAGAAAAAGAAAGAAAAAAACCCACTTCTTGACTATAGAAAAATAAAATGACCTTGTCTTGTTCCCACTGTCCCATAAAACAATGGTTCCCAACCCTGGTCCTGGAGGCACCCCAACACTGCACGTTTTGCATGTCTCCTTAATCAAACACACCTGATTCAGGTCATCAGCTCATTAGAAGAGACTCCAAGACCTGAAATTGGTGTGTCAGAGAAAGGAGACATGCAAAATGTGCAGTGTTGGGGTGCCTCCAGGACCAGGGTTGGGAACCACTGCCATAAAACACATTCAACATTTGTTCTCAATGGCTTACAATCGCACACGAACTGGCACATTTCAGTCTCTGTCAACAGCAAGGCAAACATTTCAACAGCAGACTTGTCACGGCAAACCGGAATCCTTCGACTCTACTTAACCAATTGTGAGCAACCACAGAAAAGAAAAAAAGAAAAGAAAATATTGGAAAATGATTCAACCACTCAAATGACTACATTTGAATGAACAATTAAAAAAGAAAAGAAAAAGAAACCCAAATAAAATCGGCAGACGCAACTTGACTAATTAGACTTTTGCATTCGTAAAACAGATTGAAATGCAAGTGTCCCAGAATAACAGTTTGCTTTGACAGGTATGTAATACCACGAAACCAGAAAATCCATTGAATTTGTCCTTCATAAAAGCCTGCAACGTTACAACACTAAAATCTGGTTGCTCGACACGACAAGTCTCATGCTTTCTGAAATCACTCCACATCAGAAGATCTCTAAACTCATATGGCACACACAACAGTGAGCTACACGTGTTTGCTGAGGGAGCTGATGCACCGGTACCCAAATGTTTCCCACAGTTTCTGTCTTTATTTGGTCAATAAATCTCAGAGCTGATGATACGATACAGTGTATGATCAGATGAGAGACTTGGAGAAGCGTCTGATACAGAAATCAATCAAAATACCAACAAATCAAATCCACTTATAGAGACATTTTCTTATTTTTGTTTGAAATTACAGTAGCACTTGTCTTTTTTTTTACATAAAACTGATTACTCAGAGATTAAAATCAACCATCACTGTGAATCATCTAAAGTGGCAGTTGTTGGTATCTGATGGTTTATATAAAAATATGCCCATGAACAGGGCTCCTCTGGTGAGGGCTGAATGAGACATCCCCAATATGGGAAAAGAGGAGACTATGTCTGTGAAATTGCTTTGGCCCCTCATGGCTCCATTTTACTGTCGTCCTCAGCATGTTTCTGCATGTGACAGTGTACTGCCTACAAAGACAAGAGTCAGGTCAAAGTTTGACAGACAAAAATATTATTATTATTATTATTTTTTTTACATAAAATGTCACATTTTATCTACAAATAACTATACACACATACTACCATTCAGAATTTTGGGGTTAAGATCTTTATTTTTCTATGTTTATTTTAAAGTCTCTTATGCTCATAAAGGCTATGTTTATTTGATCAAAAATATACAAAAAACAGTAATATTGTGAAATATTACAAATACTATTTAAAACAACTGTTTTCTATTTTAATATATTTCTTAAAATGCAATTTATTCCTGTGATGGCAAATGCTGATTTGCTGCTGATGAAACATTTCTTATTATAATAAATGTTGAAAATGATTTTGATGCTTAATATTTTTATGGATTTTGTTTTTTTGAATTCTTTGATAAATAGAAAGCTAAAACAGAAATATTTTGTCTTAATTACCTGTCACTTTTGATCAATTTAATGCATCCTTGGTATATTTTCAGAAAATAATAATAATAAAATATCTTACTCCAACCAAACCTTTGAACGGTAGTCAAACATTTTTGGTTAAAAATTGCTGTAATTTAACATGATTAATTTTTTTTTTAATTTTAATAACATAACTTAAAATCATAACATAAATCCATGCTAAAATAAATATATAATTTTTGCATATATAAAAAAAATATATATATTCTTTTTGAATTGGGAGGAAAATGTGGATAAGTGTCGTGAAAATAAATTGTACCATCATTCTTTTTGCAATATTTTCTGCTGCAGTAGTTGCATTTATAGCAAAAGACACCAGAGAGATTAACAGCATGTTTGCTGGTAGCTTTAAATGTGACCCTGGACCACAAAACCAGTCATTGATTTATACATCATCTGAATAAATAAGCTTTCCATTGATGTATGGTTTGTTAGGATAGGACAATATTTGGCCGAGATACAACTATTTGAATATATAGAATCTGAGGGTGCAAAAAAATCTAAATATTGAGAAAATCGCCTTTAAAGTTATCCAAATGAAGTCCTTAGCAATGCATATTACTAATCAAAAATTCAGTTTTGATATATTTACTGTAAGATATCTTCATGGAACTTTACTTAACATCCTAATGATTTTTGGCATGAAAGAAAAATCGATAATTTTGACCCATACAATGTATTTTTGGCTATTGCTACAAATATCCCCCAGCGACTTAAGACTGGTTTTGTGCTCCAGGGTCACAAATATCAAACGTAATGTGTAACACTGCACCAATTGTGGTACATGCAGCAAAATACATAAATGCCCTTTTGCGGTACAACTTCCTGTTTTCAATGCGTGGAAGTGACTACTTTTACCTGCATTAAGAGTGTCGGAAAGCTGCCGTACCTGTTTGGAGCCGTTGCGGGTTGTGAAGAAGGTGTCGCAGTTCCTCCAGCGGCATTTGAATGTTTGCTGTGCTGGGCTGGTGTGATCGTTCAGCAGGTGCTGCTGCAGGTGCTCCATCACGCCAAAGATTAGCGTACAACCGTACCACTGTGAAGAGGCACGCAACACATGTTAACCGCTGTACATTATACCCGAGTCTCTGGCACATGTCATGACCTCAGTTTCTTACCCAGCAGCGGTAGTTCTGAATCAGGTTCAATCTGACAGCTCTCACGCTCCCATCATAGCAGCCTGTGTAGATCTGCAACAGAGACAAACCACCACCAGCCTCATTTTTTAAATCATTTACTGCAATGATTAATGCTTGTAAATCTTTATGAAAAGTTTCTGGAATCCAGATCCCAATAGGGTGTTAAGTAGAGGCGCTCACCATGCTCTTGTGGATGACCATACACATCACCATGTCTGAATGTCCACCATATACTTGAAGTCTGTCATGAGACTGGAAACACCACAGAGTTAGTCAATATCACAAAAATAGGTTACAACAAGCACACAACAATATCACTGTAATACAGTCCAACTAGTGTGTGTGAGTAATTTTAATAACATAACTTAAAATCATAACATAAATCCATGCTAAAATAAATATATAATTTTTGCATATATAAAAAAAATATATATATTCTTTTTGAATTGGGAGGAAAATGTGGATAAGTGTCGTGAAAATAAATTGTACCATCATTCTTTTTGCAATATTTTCTGCTGCAGTAGTTGCATTTATAGCAAATGACACCAGAGAGATTAACAGCATGTTTGCTGGTAGCTTTAAATGTGACCCTGGACCACAAAACCAGTCATTGATTTATACATCATCTGAATAAATAAGCTTTCCATTGATGTATGGTTTGTTAGGATAGGACAATATTTGGCCGAGATACAACTATTTGAATATATAGAATCTGAGGGTGCAAAAAAATCTAAATATTGAGAAAATCGCCTTTAAAGTTATCCAAATGAAGTCCTTAGCAATGCATATTACTAATCAAAAATTCAGTTTTGATATATTTACTGTAAGATATCTTCATGGAACTTTACTTAACATCCTAATGAAGACACCAGAGAGATTAACAGCATGTTTGCTGGTAGCTTTAAATGTGACCCTGGACCACAAAACCAGTCATTGATTTATACATCATCTGAATAAATAAGCTTTCCATTGATGTGTGGTTTGTTAGGATAGGACAATATTTGGCCGAGATACAACTATTTGAATATATAGAATCTGAGGGTGCAAAAAAATCTAAATATTGAGAAAATCGCCTTTAAAGTTATCCAAATGAAGTCCTTAGCAATGCATATTACTAATCAAAAATTCAGTTTTGATATATTTACTGTAAGATATCTTCATGGAACTTTACTTAACATCCTAATGATTTTTGGCATGAAAGAAAAATCGATAATTTTGACCCATACAATGTATTTTTGGCTATTGCTACAAATATCCCCCAGCGACTTAAGACTGGTTTTGTGCTCCAGGGTCACAAATATCAAACGTAATGTGTAACACTGCACCAATTGTGGTACATGCAGCAAAATACATAAATGCCCTTTTGCGGTACAACTTCCTGTTTTCAATGCGTGGAAGTGACTACTTTTACCTGCATTAAGAGAGTGTCGGAAAGCTGCCGTACCTGTTTGGAGCCGTTGCGGGTTGTGAAGAAGGTGTCGCAGTTCCTCCAGCGGCATTTGAATGTTTGCTGTGCTGGGCTGGTGTGATCGTTCAGCAGGTGCTGCTGCAGGTGCTCCATCACGCCAAAGATTAGCGTACAACCGTACCACTGTGAAGAGGCACGCAACACATGTTAACCGCTGTACATTATACCCGAGTCTCTGGCACATGTCATGACCTCAGTTTCTTACCCAGCAGCGGTAGTTCTGAATCAGGTTCAATCTGACAGCTCTCACGCTCCCATCATAGCAGCCTGTGTAGATCTGCAACAGAGACAAACCACCACCAGCCTCATTTTTTAAATCATTTACTGCAATGATTAATGCTTGTAAATCTTTATGAAAAGTTTCTGGAATCCGGATCCCAATAGGGTGTTAAGTAGAGGCGCTCACCATGCTCTTGTGGATGACCATACACATCACCATGTCTGAATGTCCACCATATACTTGAAGTCTGTCATGAGACTGGAAACACCACAGAGTTAGTCAATATCACAAAAATAGGTTACAACAAGCACACAACAATATCACTGTAATACAGTCCAACTAGTGTGTGTGAGTGAATCCAAATCAAGAAAATGGACCACTGATATTTTTTACATTATGACATTCATTTCATGACAATGAAGTATTTGATGCCACACATTTTCATTAACACAATGTAAAAAAAATATATATATATTGTTTACATTCGTTACCATAATGTAATTTTTTAAAACTTTAAAGTATTCATACAGCAAATAAGTAATGTGTCATGATTTAAATAAAAATATAGTTTAATAATACCATTGTTATTTTAGTATTACACATTATATTATTTATTAATATTAATATTTTGAATTAGCTTTTCTTTTCTTTTTGTATTTTTAGTTTTCATTTAGTTTTTTTTAATTTGATGTTATTTTGTCTTTTTTTTATATATTTTTTTTTTAATGTAACTTTAGTACTTCAACTTTTTAGAAATGTTGCCTTGGAAATGATCAGCAAATACGTTTTTATAATAAGTTTTTCAAGTTGAGGTTTTTTCAACTAATATTTATATTCTATTTAAGTTTTATTTCAATTCATGTAAACCATTTGTAATGGTTTTAATCTTCGTTAACAATAACACTTAACAGTAGCGATTTACTGTAATGCTGTAAAAATAATGTGGTAATCACTGAAAATAACGAGAATAATAAAATTAACGTCAATAAAAAAAAAAAACATAAAAAAAGAAAATGTCAGGATGCTTTAAAGTAATGAGAAAAGGGGTCAAATATGTTTAATTGCCCTGAAAATAACAAAAAACTTTAATGGTTCTAAATTAAAGCAATAAGCGAAGCGGAGTGCCTAAAACCCCCTTAGCTGTTATAAATTCATTATGGTGTGTTCACACCAGACGTGAAGCGAATATGCGCATCGCGTCACTTGCTCTAGATTACTCGCGGGATGTTTTCAGTGTCACTCGTGCGAATAAAAACATAGCGCGATCAACCATGGTGAAGATAACTACAATCAATGTTTTGTACCTGTTGTCAAAAAGTCCCAAATACGATGGAAATCCAAACGCCGACGTGTCTGGGTTCACAGCACCATCCAGAGGAGGATGAGTAACGTTAGAATCCTGCATTAATGTGTGTGTTACACTTTACTACTGTATATATACACTGATATTACTATTATTTTTATTATTGATAGCAGCATCTCTGCAGCCGTGCTAATAAAATACAACTACCACTACAACTGATTTTAATTGTTTTCTATGCTCCAGACCTATATAATAACAGACGGCTACAATAATGCGCTCTTCCATTGTCTGATTCAACTGGACGTGTCAAGAAGCTCTTCCCTCATTGGCTTGAGCGAGAACGCGTCATGCGGATTTTCCACTCGAGGAAGACGCGATTGAGGCGAATATCGTGCGTTTGCAGCAAACACATCGCTCGGCGTGAATTTGCCTCTATTCGCGTCTTTGCGTTGACTTTGTACGCAATCTACTCGCGCGAATAATTACATTCGCGTCTGGTGTGAACACACCAAGACAAAGCACTCGATCTGGGAGAGACAGCTGTTCCACACACTCTGTTGTCTGGGAAAAACAAACAGAAATACTGGTAATATTCTCATTATTATAGAAAAACAATATAAAGAAAACACAAAAAAAAATAATTTCTGTCAAAAAATGTCATTCTGTCATCAGTGACTTTATTATTGAAATCTACGTTAATTACTTTTTTCCAAGAAACAAAAAGTTATGCAGGATGTCCAACAATGTTGTTTTTGTTAACTAAAACCATAAAAAAAAAATGTTTTTAATAGTAAATAAAATAAAGACCAGAAAAAACATGAATATTGGATTAAAAACAAACTCGTTATAGCTTTTATTATAACTTTAGGCAAAATCTATATATTTTTTAAATGTAAATGTTAAAGAAAAAAAAAGACAAATTAAAGTACCACAAAAAAATCTAATAAACAAATTATACTGAAATCCAGAAATCTATAAATAAATCTAATTCAAAATACTATAAAAGTATATAAATAATACTAAAATAACACTGATGTCCAATCTATTCATGCTTTTTCATGCACAAAGTGAATGGTGTCCACAGTTTTTGGCAAGGTTTACAAATAAATAACTACTTAAATCTTAATTTTAACCATTTGATAATTATTAGATGATACATTTTAATTTTAACCATTCAATATTTATTAAATAATAAATTTTTCCTACTTTTATCAATTCTACTTCTTATACTTTCATCAGCTTTTATGGTGCTTTTTGGTACTAGAACTCACTTTCAATATATGTAAGAGAACTCTAAGTTCGCATTTGGTGTTCCACTGATGAAATAATGTCATCTGAGTTTGGAACTATTAATTGGTGACAAAAATGTCATTTTAAGTGAATTATTCCTTTAAATATCAGTTTGTTCCTAACACAGATCTAGTGTATAAAACGTTATGGTATTCTTTTTGACAATGCTAATCACTCTCTACTTTGCTGAATGGTAAAGTGCACCCTTGTGCATCTGAAAACGTTCATGTTCTATTGAAGAAAAAAAGTTGCAAACAACATCAATGTGACTAAATGATGACGGTTTTCATTTTTGGGTGGACTATTTTAAACGTGGTGTGAATCAAAGTACTTTGAGGTTGTAACAGCGGATGGTCTGGTCACTTGATCCCGAATACAGGCGTTGTTGCAGGCCTCCTCCACATGACACCAACAGACAATTCACTTTACTGCTGTGACCTTCAAACACCGCCATACACTTCCGGCTCTGTAACAAAGATACAGAGACTTTTTAGAGAAACCTGTATACAAGCTACATTCATAGATATATATCCATTTTCATGTTTAAATGCTTTTACTGAACTACAAGTCTCAATTTCTACAAAGTCTTACTATCAGGTTGAAAGCGCGTATAGTGCGGTCCCCTGAGCAAGTGTACAGCAGTCCGTTATGGATCTGCATTCCATTCACAGCCTCTTGATGGCCTTCAAACTCCCCTTCTGTTGGCACCTCCTCCTCCCCAGGATCTGATATAGCTGATAAAACACACACACACACCAACATATCAGTTATTGAGTGAAACATTAACACTGTGAAATAGATGCGTGTCTAGATAATTTATGTGCAGTTACGCAACAAACAGAACACAATACAAACTTGTGGGTAAAGTTTCCTTTGATAAAAACGTCATGATCTTTCAAACAAAGTATACTTTGAAAGGCTACGTGTTCAGCTGCAGACATTCGCTAAGCATTTCGTGTCAAACCTGAAATATACTTTGGATTTAAGTCGCCACAACAATGCAACATTAGGACTGATCATCAAAACTGATCATAATCAGTGTTGACTTTTTTTAACCTTTTTAACCCAACCTTTGGGAAAGTGAGTTAACGTGACAGTGCCAATGTGTTTAATTTTAGTCGTCTAATGGAGTTCCCGAGAACAATTCTCAGGGTCGTCAACCCGGCAGTCACTCTCAGAGGCACAGGTTAAGTATAAAACTAACAGGCACTAAGAATACCTTGCCCTTAAAAAGTAATTTGGGGACTTGACGAACTATTTCTGTATGCTGATCGTGTGAGTATTCTAATTTGGTCGTTCTGCTACGACTGCACTGAGCAAAAAACAAGATGAATTGAAATGTACTCACTGCTACCAGTAGTTAAAAAATAAATGAAATGGTAAGTGATTCGCACATGACATATCATGATCATCTGATGTTTAAGGCATGATACTGCCGAGGCAGTGATACATTTGCAACAGCTTCCATGTATGTTTTTGAACACATCGCATACCTGAAGGCACCTTGGACTCCAACACTGAGGCTGATTTTACTTCACTGTAACAAAAAAAAAAGAGAGAGAGATTTTTCAATACTGACTAACTTCAATGACCATTATCAGAAAGCGTCAAGGTGTCAGAAGGCCAAAAAAACACCAAGCCAAACCATCTGTAAGTGAACATGACATTAAACAAGCTGTATCTGTTATGTCGGTATTTTCAAAGCCCAACAGCCAAATGCTTGATGAACATTACCTTTCATCTTTCAGAATGCTTAATAACCTCAGAGATCTTACAGATTAAAAACACTTTTTGGAAATCCCTTGTTGTTTGTTGACAAACTATTATGGTGTTCCCACACTCAAGTCCTAACTACAGCTAGTTTGATTAGCATTTTTCATTGTGATCTAGTTCACTTTCTAATCGCACTGTTTTTGGAACCCAAAGGACTAGAAAAATATAGTATTAAATCTTCTTATTATTACTATTAATAAAGTCAATATTATACATTAGTGACATAAAATGTTGTTTTGTATTCACATAAGTACACTGTAGGGTTGGGCCGATAGACGATGCCATCGTCCATCGCCGATGACTGATAGGCATCACGATGTTGAGGAGATCGTGATTTTTGCGGGCTTAAAATAAACTGTAGTTCAAATTGAACTTATCTCAGTTTGGTCCAAATCTGATGCATTCATATAGAGTTCAAATTTCAAAAGATCACTATCCGGCAAAAGGGTCACTATCCGGCAAAGTTTAGATCCGGTACTAATTACCACAGCTGAACCAACTAATCAAGGTCTTCAGGATTATGAGAGATCTCTAGGGCAGTGTGCTATGTCAGGTTGGAGCTAAATTATGCAGGCACAGGACTGGACGCGCCTAATATATTAAGAATGTTTAGAAAATCCCAGTTCAAACCACGAGACATACCTTTCACAAGCCTTGACTATACTGCTAGTATCAATTTCACTAGTGGAGGTGACCTCATTGCAGGCAAGATTTTGAGGGTCCTTGACGGCATGGTCTGTTGTGTATGCAGTGGCTGACTCCTTGGCCTTCTTTTCAGGCATCTCTTCTGGGTCTGAAGAATCTAGATTGACAATGTCAATATCAATATCAGGTTGGGGAAGCTCCACCATCTCCAGTTCAGATGAATCAGAGTGACGTTCATTCATTGGTGGTGGTGTTGCTAGCTTGGTTCCCTGTGGTTGCGCCTTTGATGCTTCGGTCACCACCATCTCTTCATTTTCATCTTTCTCTTCTGGTGTGGGGGGTGAGACGTTCGTGCTGCTGGATCGCAGATGAGGTCGGCACTTGCGGGTAGGTCGGGTAGCGGGCCGCTCTGCATCAAGCTCAGATTCGCTGATTTCAGGCTGCTCGTTCAACTTTGCTTTATTAAGACACTTTCTCTTCTTTAGCTTTCGAACACGCTTAACTGGATTAGTTTCTAGGTGGTTAGAGGGAGACAGTGGCTTAGGAGAGAGGGTTGCAGACATAAGTGAGGAAGACAGGTTGGCTAACCCCTCTTGAGAGCTCGAATTTGGATGAATTTCTTTGACGGGTGACGGCTGTAATCTGTGAACTGAGGAAGCTGCTGTCAAAGCCATGCTTGTGGCGTCTCGTGAAGCCTCCATCTTACTGCTGAAGGTAGTATCTGTTTTAAATGAGGAATAAACATTCTATAATTCAGTACTGCTAGCAATAGCAACCTCTGAGCTGCAATTTATTGATTGGAACCTACCTGTTTGACAGGTTGCAAACAAAGTTTGGACAGGTGTGGTACTTTGAGGTGCTGGGAGGGGGCTTTTGACAAGGTTAGGCTCAGGAATGAGGTTACATTGAGAGACGGGCTCCTGTTTGATGGTAACAGGCAGTGAGGAGCTTAAAGAGGATGAGTGAGCAGCTGTTGTTGGGTGAACAGGGTTGGCGGTGATCTGAGAAACCTGGGTTGATGAAGAAGTTAAGATGTCCTCACTGTTCCTCTCTCTTTCTTTTGACTCAAATTCACCTGAAAAATAATTTTGATGTCCATATATATTTTATTATCAGTAACAAATAAGCTTTTCATAAAACTTGATTTGGTTTAGATTTGGTACATGTAAGGCGCTTACTGTCATACCTCTTATATACATACTACAAACTGGCTTTACAGGTATGAGCTCCATGAAAGGATATGTGGTATTAATCTGACTTTCCTCATCATTTACCTTAGATTTATAGAGTTAATAAATATGATTACATGACTCCTGCTTTCTGGTTTTTGTACCTTGCATTCCTTGAAGAATTTCAATGCGCTTGGTTCTCAAAGAGTTCATCTCATTAGTTACCTGTAAAATAGTTAATAAAATACTGTAAAATCAAGTGACAGCCCAGTGAGAGCTGAAAATTTTTTTTATCCATTTTTGTTAGCACTACAGTGCTAGGTCTTACCTGTTGTTTCACCATAAGCAAGCGCTGCACTTCCAAATAGGCAGCTTGCAGGGCAGCACGTGCCTGAATAAGACTGTTGTCGACAGCCTGAAGAGATGTGTTAAGCTCCTCCTCACGTTGAGATACAGCCAGCAACTGATCCACTTGCGAGCGCTCTGAAAACCACAATACAAAGAAATATTAAAATACTTAAATAAGGACACTGTGTAGTTTGGTTTACAGAAAATAGCATAAAGCAGTTTCCTTACCTTTCTTAGCCTTAATTTTTTGCCTCTTGTTTTTCCTATCGTCATCAGGAATCTCTGGAGACACAACATCCTAGTGGAAAGACCCAACAATTAGATAATGGCAATATTTATTTTCCATTTACGTTATTCTTGCATTAATGTTCATGTAGAACATTTAAAAATGACACTGGATGTTGCCTTTAGAGGCAGCTATGTAATGTAGCAGGCTGATAATTACATTAGAATTAGAGCTACTGTATTTCTGAGTATGTCAAGCATAAACCATAGTGTCAAGTATGAAGTTTACCCCTGGAGCTCTGCGTTTCTTCCCAGCTCCTTGCGTGTCAATCAGTTCAGGCTCTGATCTACAACTGCCGTCTTCTACAACTTCCTCTGGGCCCTTAGAAGGCCCTATAGAACCTTGAATTTCCAGATGGCCTTTGGACTGTAACTCCTCTCTCCTTGGTGGCTGTGAGGGGCCACAAGCAGGAGAGTCTCTCACTGGTTCTACAGCTTTGGGGAGGGAGCTGGTACCTGCAGAATCCTCTTTGGCCACATTGCTTTCAGACAAGCTACGCTTACGGGAAGGCACTTGATTAAATTCAACCAGAGAGTCCCAATGAAAGCCCTCAGAAAGAGGTACATCATCTTCATTCATTTGGTTTGGACCCTCAGGTTCACAGGGCACCATTTCTATACCAAATCTGAAAAGATTCAGGACAAATATGGAATTAAGGTATGAAGGAAGTAACCATTTTATGCAAGAAAACGGAAAATTAAGAGATATTCATGCAGTACCTTGGTAAGCCCTTGCCCTGCTTCTTTCGGTTGACTTCCTGGTAGACCTGGTCCCAGTTGACATTCCGTCTTGAGCCAGAGGAGCTAATAAGCTGCCGCAAAGTGGGTTTAAGTCCTGAGTCCTTGTCAGTCTCATTCTTTCGCGTGCCACTCACATTTCTAATACGCCTTGCAATATTCAAGTTGGGTTCATGGGATGCGGCTTTGGTGCCCATATGACGGTTCAGATCCCTTTGTAGACATGCAGGCAAGGCAAGCTTACTTAAAGGGGGCACAGAGTCACCGGCAGTTTGTTGTGATGGGCTGCTGTGGGACCCCTCACCAGTTGAGCACAAACCTTCATCCAGAGTGTCCATGACTTGATTTTCTTCCATTTCACCACACTCCTCCTCATCTTCGTGGTCCATAGTGGAGGTACTAACTTGTAAGGACTGCAGAGATGGCCTAGTGTCACTGCGCACATTGCCAATCTGTACTGAGGTCTCAGTACTGGTTAACTGCTCTTGTTCATTGCTTAAACTTTTCACAAAACCCAAACTTTCTTGAACCTTGTTTTTATTAAGTGTCTTCTTACTCTCATGTAATTTTTGATTCTTTAGTTCTGAACTCTCTACGTGCTCTTTAATCTGAGGCACAGCCTTTGATCCTTTGAGGCAGCTCTCTGTACCAGATATGTCATTAGAGTTATTTCTATTAAGCAATGTCTCTTTAGCTTTTTGCAGCATCTCTGACAGCAGATCTTGCTCTGCATTGGAAGTGGCATGTTGTGGGAATTCAGAGCTTGAATGGGAATGCTTAAAACCTTTAGAGCTGACAAAGTCTTGCCTTCCTGTTTGTTTGAGATTCATTTCTGAACCATCTTCAGCAAGCTTGCTGGGCTTCTCTGTTCTCCTAGTGGTTGAGGTGGAGGGGTAGGAGAAACTATCCATGCTAGTACTGCCAATGTTCTTGAAGCAACTATTCTGCTCCCTGCAATCACTCTCTTCAGGTTCTGTGGGTTTATACTGACAATTTTTTTGGTCTGCCTTGGATATCCTCTCCATGTCCTGACTGCCCACGTTGAAACTAGAGGTTTGAGGAGATTCCACATCTGAATTATCTAATGTTGGCTGAGGGTTAGTCTGGGATGAAGGATCCCCAAGTTTAGCTTGTGGATATGGTGCCCATTGGTGAGCCTTCTCTGACTTTTGACCCTTACCTTTGTTGGGATCATGCTCTCCACCAGATTCTTCTAGAATCTGTTCACCCTGTGTCTGATTCTCAGAGCTGCTGGGTGTCTTTTGAGGCTCTTTTGCAGGTGATTTAAAGAGCCTAGGTGGTGACATATATTGTCCATTCCATGGGACATTAAACTGACTGTTGTTCCAGGGAAATTGGTTTCTCAGTTGTGGAGGGCAGGCTCGTGGAGGGCAGACTCCAAATCCACCTTGTCTACCACCCCAAAAGTTTCCTTGGTTGTGGAATCTCCCTCCATGACGACCAACAGAGTCCCATTTCTGCAAGTTAGGCGGTCCTTGAGCATGCCACGTGGCACACCTAACATCTCGGCTAGGATGAAACCTTTTGCCATGTTCAGGGGATGAAAATCTCAAATTCTGCCATTTGGAGCCTCTGCCCCTTTTGGGCATCTGAGGAAAGTTAGGATAGGGCCGGTCCCAAGGGCCACACTGCTGGTACATCAAAGGCCTTGGCCCAAGCCACTGAGTCCGAAGCTCCTGCCACCTCCTGCGTTCTTCCTGCTCTTCTTTAGCCTGCTTTGCAGAAGCCTCTTCTTTCCTAATAGAGTTCAGTATAGAATGGTAACATACAATGATTTAACTGGCAAAAATGGTACGGACACACTCAACAACGAGGACAGGTGAAAAGCATGATGGATAAGTTAAACAACAATGCATGTAAATTCAAATATGCGGAGAATCACAAAACATGACAGGCTATCTGTACAAAAGCATGTCTCTATACAGTTGGAAATAAGGTCATTAAAACTGCTAAGAATGCTGCCTTTTCCTGTCTTTCAGAGTATAAGGAGGCCATATGATAGGATACAATTTGGTATGTGACAGGATAACAGCTGTTGATGACCCACCTTTTGTGAAAATTCTACTGCTTGTGGCATTCCCCACCAAAACTCAGAAATCACCCATATTTAGTACCTTCATTTATCGTGCTCCAAAGAAACCAAATTGCAGACTCAAAGATTGCTTATTCATCCTTGAATAATTAAACCAGAGACACAGACCAGACTGCTTCCATTGAAAACATCTGTGTGATTTTCACTGTCTCAATACCAAACTAATTTTATTGGATCAAACTTTTATGAATAAGGAACTACTGTTATTTTTAATCATTTAATAGTATTATTTCTGTCTTGATTTGCAGTGGTCATGACTTAATTATCTTGCAATCTTCACATAACAAAAATTGTATTCTTTAGATCTTGAACAACTGGGATATCTAAATGTTCTACGGCTGACCACAAAAATGGTGAGTGATGTACAGGTCTTTCTATTATCTTGTGTGAGATCAAGGGAAAACAACTTTCTGTTAGACAAAAATAAAGATGAAGTAAAATAAAAAATAATGTATTATGTATTAGCGCAGAACAGAAAAGGACTTCTGTCATTAATTAATGTCTAACATGTGACTTAAACAGCATGGTGCATAAAAATACTTGGTGAGGTCAGACTATTTAAAGACATAGTGCCCATGCTGTTTAAGGGTTGAGCTGGAAAGGGATGGTGTGGTGTGCATCCAAGAGTGTGAGAGTGCGAGTGTTGCAGTCATGGCTGTTTTTGGCCTCACTTGACACCATACTCCACTGTATGCAGAATAGTTTAATATAGAACTGCAGGTGTTGTGGTAAAAAACTGATTATTAAAACCCTAAGAAAACACACTTCATTGACAAAGATTTAAACACTACCATGCAATTAATCAATAGATAACAGGTCTGCAACCACCATCAATACAATTCAGGGCTTTCAAACACATAGTAAGCAAAGACTCACCTGATCATTTCTTTGCGTTGCTCGATATGCTGCACAATGTCCTTGTCAAAGTACTCTTCATCTTGGTCTTCGTTTGTGGGCCGGTTCTTCTGATCCTCAATGTGCTGTTTATGCAAAGGGCTGGAAATGTGACTGGCATAGTCGGTCAGGCTCACCTCTGTTACACCGCAGACCCGGCACTCGTGTCCACAGTCCCTGGGGACGGAGGGGAACATAGGCTGCTCAATACTTCCCTCAGGCATGGCTACTGCTTCTGAGTGGCTGTCTAATGAGTTATGTTTTTTTTTTGAGAGATCAGGAGGCAAACTGACTTTTCAATCATAAAATCCAACTAGTTACTAAAAAGTTAAAGAAAAAAAACGCAATTTTCCAGATCTTGTGGTACATCTTCAGGGGCTTCACAAATGGGTTTGAGTGAACAGGCAAGAACAGAAGGCGCCGGGAGATCTTGAACTCAGAGGGGCGACCACCCTCTCAGCAGCTGCTGAGCCTTAGCACGCTGTCATGATGGAGTCCGCTGTGCTCTGAGACGAGGGTTGGGAGAGCTGTTGGATTTTGGTGTGTAAAAATCCACCCCCCCCCCACCGTCTCCACCCTCCTCTGCTCTTTAGGGCTGCAGCAAGGGCGGGACTCTTCTGCTAGCTGTAATGCGAGCTGCTTACAGTTGCCGACTTGAAAACCCCTCCCTGCCATAGACGCTGTCTTTAGTGCCAAACTCGTGAGCTGATAAATACTTGCTGTTGGCAGATGGTCTATCCACCAAAAAATGGTGTCATTGCAGCTTGCCATTTTGCAGTCAGCATTCTGTTATGTTATTATTTCTAACTTAAAATTCAAAAGTTTTTTTGTGCGGCTTGCGATTGAGTACTATGATTGTGATTTGTGTGATTGTCTCTATGTTCTGTAGTTCATTTCCATTTGATCAAATGAACGGATTACTGAAATCATTGATTTGATTAATGCTCTAAACATTAGGTTACATTGATCTCATAAGCATCATTACCAAGATGCAATTAGCTATATGACGACAAACCTCTAAAAATCGACTTGTGTGTTTTGCATTTTAGATTTCAATACCCTCCCCATTTAAGAATGTCATTCTCACTTTTCACATTCCAGAGATGTACATAAATTGTCACATGAGGCAGTTGTTATTTGTCAGCCTTGCCAGTTGTTTCCAATGTCCCTATATATACTCTCGGGTTAAGGCAGCTGCCTTGGCCTATCTATCGTCTGACCAAAGGAGACACGTGCCTTACATTACGCATGTTTTTCATTTTTGACCATAACCATATTCTACACCTTTCACCAAAGAATTTTCCAAAATATTTTCCATGAACTTTGAAGTTCGTGAAGCTGCGTAAGGATTTTTTTTTAATTATTTAAAACAATGAATTAAATTTTTTTTTAAATAAATGATCAATACAGTTATGCCTTATAATTAGTTTTGCATGTCTCAAATAATGCTAAAATGCCCTGAGATTTGAAGGAGGCACAGTTCTATGAATTTGGGAGTATAACTTTAGTGTTGATAGCAGAGATGAGTTTCCCAAACTGGAGTTTGTGAGGAAACTGCAGGGGGTTTGTGAGTTGATTAAAATCTAGTTAATTAATTCATAAAATAAATTAATTAATTAACGAAATTCAAAGATTAAAGGGGTCCTATTATGCTCTTTTACAAAGTCTTGATTTTGTTTTGGGGGTGTACTAGAACAGGCTCTCATACTAGGTTGTACGAAAAACATTATTATTATTTTTCACATATTTTACATTATTAAAACACCTCTCTCCCCAGTCTGGCATGAACGGCTCGAATGGTTCAAATGAAGTATCAAATGAAGGCCCGCCTTCTGAAATACGAAATGTGCTGTGATTGGTTAGCTGGGCCAGCGTGTGTTGTGATTGGCAGCACTCGGCGCCTGGTCGGGAAATGTCATGCCCCTTACCATAGCCACCTGTGAGCTTCAGTGTAAATATTGCGTCAAAATCAAATCAATTTGAGCGCGATTTAAACCCGGATGATTGTAACCACTCTAACTTTATCTGCATTGGGAAAGCTAGTGTGTCTCCAACATAGTGATAACACTCGTTGCCTTCTCTAGTGCAGCTCAACCAGGTCTCGTCCCATTCGTCGATATTTGTGATATCACAAATCCCGGAAAATATGCGTTGTAGTCCAAACGAGTCGTTCGTTGTAGTTTTTGTAAAGTGATTTCTGTTAAATAAAATATCTCCTTTTGACGTGGACTTTGAGCTTTGTAACTTTGCAGATCTTTTTATGCTCAAACATCAACATTACAGACTAACTAAAGTTGAAAAAGTGAAAAAGCATAATAGCACCCCTTTAAACATTTGTTTAACCGGCCTGTCAAGTGACCATTACCTAACCTGACATTAGAAAACCATGAACATGCAAATGTACTGTTAAAGTTTTTAGATATTAACTTACAACATCATGCGGTAGTTAAGATAAATATTTTAAGTCAAAGGTTTTTTTTGTAACATTGGTGCGTAACATGGCCTCTTACCGGCCTTTCAGAATCTCCAGCTCCCGGTGGTGCAGCATACTTCTCATGTGCTCTTCCATCTCCTAAAACCCAAAGACACCATTACAATATGGCATAATAGTATTGAACAATATTTCAAAAAATACAGGAACAATTTTTTTTTTTTTAATTTTACACAAATCAATTTTAATGAAGAAAAGGTTATTTGTAACCATAGAACTCACAACAGAACAGTGCATGTGCAGAGGTCAGACAGGTGCCAACATGAGCAAATAAATTACAGTTTGTCACACAAGAACTCAGAGCAAACTGTCGCAGTCTAGCAGAAATGAGAGATGATGAGATGTATGCTTAAATATCCAGGTTTACCTGTTTGGAGCTGTAGATAGTTTCACAAAGAATGCATTTCTGTTCTTTAACCATGTTGAATGATGTTATTGTATCTCAGGCCACCACAAACAAACAGGGTTCTGCATAAAGACACAAATAAAACAATCACAACAGGCAGCATATAACGAGTGACAAATTATTAAAATCACTAGCTAA